CGGCCCACCCCTGTGGCCCAAGTCAACGCCGAACCTGCCAGCCCCTTCACCTTATTTATCCTCGCATGCAACGAGCCTTACACCCGGTTTGATCTGGCTGATCAAGAGGCAGTTTAAGGACAGCCCCCACGGTCCTCAGGAATTCTTTAAGGTTGCAATCAGGACGACGATCACAGCCAGAGTCGACACCGAGTCCCCGCCAGAAATATTTAAAGACGGTCTGGAAAGTGTCTGTTCAAAGTGCTGGCATGCCCTGCATGACCTCTATTGCGCAGCAGCAAAACCAAGGACTTGCGGCAAAGCATGCGTGTACTAGTCCCATCGGGTTGGCATGGTGACCGTGACCCGAGTGCTTCGTCCAGGGCCCTTCAGAGGCATCGCCCGTCTCCCAGCAAGGTTGAGCGCTCGCAACACCTCACATTGAGAGGACTCTCAAGACAACTCACTTCCTCACGGTAAGAAGCCATGAAGAGGGTAGATAAGGAAGGAAGCAACGCACCTCATAATGCTGCCCCCAACCACAGATTTCTCACCAGCAACCTGATGTGCATTTATGATGACGGTCTTTGCCTCGACACAACCAACAACAGAATGAAGTTCCACCTCGACTTAATGCCACATCAGCGAACTCTCATCATCCAGCGTACACCCCTAATGTCACCACATAGCTTCCTGGCACGCCCACACGACCCTGGGCCGCCTTACGTCCAACGCCCAAGCCTTATCACTGCCCCACACCTCATGCGAAGCACCGAACAGCTATTGCGAAGAACCAGTGAGCGCAGTTTGAACCAGCTCCGATACCAAATTGCAAGGAAAATGAGCAATAGCGAGATGACGATGACCAGCATGCACAATCACATTGAAGGCCAGATAATATCACAGTGTCGGAAAAGCAGAAATGCACCAATATAACACCAATGAAGAATCGTAACACTGAAAACCAATGTCAATGAGAGATTACTCTCGCCACCACCAACATGAGTGTCCAGGCCCTATCTTCCTACTTGGCGCCCAGCCTACTATCTACACAGCTACTCTCTGCCTACTAATTGACAATGCAACTGTTGACGTCAGCAGCCTCCGAAGTACTTGAAGATGTCGCCCATGCAGACTATTGCCAATACCAGGTATCACATCATCATCATCATCATCCTTCTCTCTCTCTCTCTCCCTCGTCTTACCCTCACGTCTTCCCTTTGTACACCCGAAGACCTCCCCTGCGCCTCACTGTACATCCAAGCCCTCAGCCAGCTATGAAGGCTGGGCTATGGCGCTGCCGTCAGCAGCGCCCTTCTTCCACACACGACCGCACGTGCGCAGCACCTTGCTCCAGCGCTAGCAGCCAGCCCGCCAGCATGAGCTCCAGCAGCGCTGCCGGCAGCCAGCAAGTGCCCGAATGTCTCGCCAGGCGGCGAGCTCTTTCCTATATGAAAAGAGCCTGCCTCGTATGGCAGCCTGGCTGGACCGGCCTGGGCCCAGAAGCTTCCGGTAGGCCCCAGGATGCTGGCCTTTGGTGCAGCTACTGGGCCTCATTCGGTTGGGCCTCTTAACTGTCTGTGTATGAGGCTGTGAATCTCGACCAGGGCCTGTGCTTTCCGGAAAGGCCTAGAAGGCCTGGGAATTTTCCTCGCTGCTCGGCCTGTGTTTCCTTCAACCAACTAGCGCGACGAAACTGCCTGGACCCCAAATACGAAATTGACAGTTGGGGGCCTCTTGTGATTTGTTAGGCCCGCCTTCACTTAGGGCGGGCACAGATGCAACACGGGCACCTCAGGCCTGCCGAGGATCCGAATCCTCGCAATTAAGATGACGATGAAATGAGTAGTCTTGATTTCACAATGGGAGATGTAACGATCAGATCTGCACATTTATGACGAAAGTTGACAAAAAAGTGAGTTGACGATACGAGGACTGGAGTGTGGATGCAATAACAATTCAATGATCTGATTTTTCTGGGGATGTATTGCAGTCTGTATCTGATGTCACACCTTCTCATGATGCTTTCTGATCTTTGTTCTATCAGAAACGTAAACCCTGTACCAAGTACTGCATTGCTCTGATGTGGAGGGGAATGTTTCCCAAAACACCTTCATACTGTATGAGGGGAGGCCCACCATGGCACAGAAACGGGGGAAGGGTTGAACGAGGTGTAGGAGGGGTGTGACAGGCAGAGCAGTGCTATGTTTGTCACCCGGATTTGCACTTGTAAGCTCGGTTGTTTTTTTTCTGCTCGGAGGGGCAAGCGGCCACGC